AAAGTGCCTTCGAAGAATGAAGTAAAATTATTTTTTTTTAAATTTTTTTAATTTTTCAATTATAGTTGACATACAATAATATTAGTTTCAGGTATATAGCATAGTGATTAGACATTTATATAACTTACAGAGAGATGACCCCAATAAGTTTAGAGTAGGTACAAGTTTTTGGTTTTGTTTTTTTTTTTAAGGAAAAAAAGAGATAAACAAGACTCCAGGTTCATGTTTGCTGTGAGTGGGATGGTCGGGATGTGGCGGGCAGCAGATTTGCTTAATCTCCACTTAGGCCGGCCATGGTTTCATGACGTTTGCTGCAGCATCTTCTTTCAGTGTAAATGTTCTGTGAACTGTATTTCTTCCATGTATCAAATATTCAACTAGAATAAAGAGAAAATGTGAACAGGATATGCAAGATGGGGCCACATCTTGAGAGGCTGATGGTGCCAAGTGCTGGTGTCTGGGCCCTGGGTTGGGGCTGGGTGGACCCTCTACAGGGACAGCTGGCCTACAGGGTGTGGGGCCAGCCCAGGGAGGAGCCCGTGTGGGTGTTTCCTTTCCCAGAGAAGATGATGGCATTAGGAAATCATCTGTTAAGGAGACTCTGCTGGGCAATAATAAAACCGTCACCTGCACCATCTGGCACTTGGCAAAGTGGGAGATGGGCTGTGTGGTAAGTGGATCTTCAGGAAGGGCATGTTGCTGCTGCTGACCACACATACTTCTTGGATTATACCGTTTCACAACTTTTTTACTTTCTTGAGACCCCCCCAAACTTGGCTTTCATGTTGCAGTCCTAGGACATTTTTAGTTGTTTGGGGCTCCATGGGTTTCCATGGCAAGGTGACTATGGTAAGTGTGACTCATTGATGCTCAGAGAGCCCTGGAGGGCAGGCCCAGAGGTGGAATGAGAGACCAAGGGCATTTGGCACCTGGAGGTGCCTGCATGGTCAGATACTAGTGCAGCCACCATAGAAGGTGGCGAGGGGGTCGAAAGAACTTCAGGTGAGCTGTGTGTGGCCTCCAATGGCCAGGGCTGGCCAGGACAATGGAGAGCTGAAAAAGATGAGCCCATAGTCAGGGCCTGGCTGGAATCAGTGTGTCTGCACTAAGTGAGTAAGAGAATGGGGGTGTAGGTGGTGCAACAATGTGAGGAGATGTGTGTGTATGCAAGAGAGAGAGATGTGTGTGTCTCATTCTGGGTCCCATCAGGAGAAAGCACCCACACAGCAATTGAAACTGGAGAAGTTCACGTAAGCATTATTAACTGTGATGGAAGAACAACAGTGAAGCATCTGAGAGCTCTGAGCACCCTCAGGCTGAGGTTGGGCAGCCAGGGAAGGAGCCTCCACCGCTGGCTGGGGTCAGAGCCCACTGAAAAGCTGGGTTACAGCCCACAGTACATGGAGAAGTCGGTGGGGTGATCAGGGCCAGGGCTGCTGCAGTCATGATGCCAGCAGGAAGTGACCCTCCAGGGCACAGAGAACCAAGGTTGTGGACAGGCGTGAAGAGCAGTCTGTGTCTGGGGGCTTCAGGAAGGTGATTTCCAGGCTCGGGCATGGGCTGTGCAGGCACTGAAGGACTGCATATAGCTAGGGCAGAGCATGCAGGATTTCCCCACACTCCTCCTGTGCAGCAGGAGCCAGAAAAAAACATGGTGAAATCATCAGAAGCAGGAGTGAAGCCTTTGTGTGTCTATGGTGGCCTCCATGGACAAGGCTTGGCATCCTGCACACTACAAAGGAAGTGTTCAGAGAGTCTTGGGTGGGCATGAGATTGTGTGTATGTGTGTACATGCATGCGTCTGTATGCCCTTGTGAAGGGCTAAGTAAACAAGAGGGAGGAGAGGACTAGGGCCTGGTTCCATCTGCATAAAATATGAATAAATTAAACATCCCAACCAAGTATGGAACATTAGAACCTGCCTTGCCAGACTACACAAAGATAAAAGTGAAACCATGGCTGGGTGACTGAAGTCATCGATGCCCAGCTGGCAGACATCATGGGATGTTTGCTTGTAAAGGAGATGCCAGAGGGGGCCTTGCTAGGAGCAGAATAGCACTTCACCCCACTGAACATTAGTTCTGCATCATTTCCCTGTTGTATTAGGGCAAGGAAATGACACAGAACTAATTTCCCTGTTGTACTAGGAGCAAATGAAGTCTTGGGCCAGTGGGCCTCTGTCTGTTTCCATTTCTTCAACATCGCTGTGCACAAACAATATAACACACACGTGTGCGGGCATACATACTAGCCTTAAAGGTGCCTGGGGTCTCTTTGGCAGGTATACCATGAGCAGTATAGGACCCATCTGTCCTCTGGCCAGCTCCTCGCCCTTCTGCATGGTACCAGGGCGCAGGGGCAACCTGAGGAATCAGAACCACAGATGCTGATGGAGGATGGCACTAGCCAAGCCTGTCCAGGCAGAAATGTTAGACTAGGTATGGGGGGGAAGATTCTGTTACCATGTGGCCTTCAGAGGTGGAAGGCATGGGTGCGAAAGGCTTTATAAGTCCTGCTGTAGATCTGCTCGAAGTACCAGAGGCAGGTCTGAGCCAACAGCTGGATAACCCTTCCAGGCAGAAAGGTACCAGCAGTGAGGGGCAGTCAACCAGCAAGGCCCTGGGCCTCCCAGAAGTCTCAGCATCTGCCCCTATCCTGACTCCAGCCACCACTTTGTTAGCCATTCTACTGAACCCCGAGATGTAGAACATCCAGCTGTTTGACCTTGCAACACTCCTCACCTCTCAACCTCAGCGTTCTTAGCTGAGGTAGTGAAATTCTTAAATGGGGTAGTGAAGAGATCTGCACATAGTGGTTTTGAATCTGAAGTGAGAGGTTTATACAGTATGTACCTGTCTGCACCTACACTCTCCCCAGCATGACCTCTTCTGGTTCATTTGCCCCTCTCCCCAGCATGACCTCTTCTGGTTCATTTGGAGAAACTGAGGCCCAGAGGAGGCCAGCACTCTGCAAAAGCTGCAGAGCCCCATGTAACTGGACACCAGTGGCTTGTCCCAAACTCTCCTCACTTACCCACCAAGATTGGCTACATCATTTGTGGGGCCCAGTGTAAAATGAAGATGTGTGCCCCTTCATCTAGAATTCAAAACAGTGACAGCAGAGCATTAAACCAAGCGTGGAAACTTTGAGACTGCCCAGGCTACACCCCGTTGAGGCTGGCCCTGCGTCCACCTCTTCTTTCCTCACCTTAGAGCATATGTTTTTACATTTAAAAGTGTTTGTGACCAGGAGGAGCATTAAGGCAACCATGCCCTGCTGCAGAGACCACCTGGGAGGCATTTTAAGTACATTTAAGTCTGTTTCTGATCACAATCATTTCCCAGTCCACGAATCGCTTTGGCAGCAACAGACAACTCCACATAGATTCTGCAGGGCTGGGCTCTGTGAGCCGAGGACAAAGCCCATTCTCCCCTGCACATGTGGTCTGTGTTGGGGGCGCTGGATCAACTTAGAGGAAGGAGCTATAAGGAGATTGACTCATCCTTCCTCCCAGCCCCTGAACCACTGAAAGTGGCATGCACTCAAGGAGACCCCCTAGAGAAGGAGCCCCATTCTGGACCTGCAGGTAGGGCACTCCGAGTGGAGCATCTCTCCCCTGATGAGACCCATCTGCAAGACCCTCCCCAAAGGGTTCTTATTCAGAGACCAGGGCCAGAGGTGTCTGTTCCAAGAGAACAAACCAGCAGAAACTATGTTGCCTCTCGTGACATAAGCTCAGTCATCACACAGTATCCCCTCACTGGTACTCTGGGGTCAGAACGAAGACCCCACCTCTGTGGAGGTGTCAGGCACACTGAAGAGAACCAGTGGCTTGGTGGGCCTCTGGAAGACCTAGGCCACTCAGGTCTGTGTACCGTCTTGCAGACCCACACCCACCCTACCCACCCCCAACAGCATTCCCTGCAGCCCTGGGAGTTGAGGCCCACTGGCAGCATGTCAGATCACTAGTGTTGGGTGCACGCCCTTCTGCCAGTCTTTGTCAGCATTCACCTTCCTCGTAGCATTCCCAGCTCTACCCATAGACCCTCAGTGAGCAGTCTTTTAGCAAAATGCACAAATATTGGCTATACATTATAGACAAATGGATGTGCCTTCATGACCCACATCCCTATCAGGATATGGAAACTTTACGTTCCCTAGAATGTTCCCTCCTGCCTTTCCTAGCCTGTTGCCTCCCCACCCCCAACAAGTAGCCAATCTGATTTCTCTTACCTAAAATCAGTATAGAATTGTGCCATGTATAGTCAAAAGAATTTCGTGCCTGGCTTCTTCTGCTTAGCCTGATGTCTGACACTTGTCCAGGTTGTTGTGTATGTTGATAGCTCATCCCTTTTCATTGCTGTATAGTTTTCCAAGGTGTAATAAGCACCAATGGCTTGTCCATTCACCCCTGAAGGGGATCAGAGCTGCTTCCAGTTCATGGCCATGAATAACCCTGCCACTTGTGACTAAGTCATCTAATAGACATATGATTTCATTTTTCTTGAACAAATGAAGTGAGATTTCTGGGTCAAATTGTAGGAATGTGTTTTAATTTTAAATAAAAATTTGTTACTTTTTTATAAATTACCTTATTCATTTTTGGCAACTGTTGCTTGCCCTATTTGTCTGGCAGTGTCTTGTACACTTGAAAATTCTGGCTCCAGGTGATTTGTTCAGAATCCTGGGTGAACGCCCCGCTCTGTGTGGTTCACGTGCTTATCAAGCTTCGGTAATTAAGAATGATTTTGCAACTGTTGTATACTGCTCCTCTACCTCCTTTTTCTGTTTTAAAACAGTGCATATTCAGCTAATGTTTAGCTATACAAATAAATTGTGTGTTGATGTTCTTAGAACTATAGAGGAGAAAGCCCTACTAAGATCAGAGTTTTAAATTAGTGAATGGTTTTTTTTTTTTTTTTTGGTCTATGAGAATCTTTTATCAAAGTGTGAAATAAAGCAGCTGGGGAATGCTGGTCTGCCTGGGGGGTCTTTTCCAGGCTCCATCATCACTCCTCCTCCTCCCTCACGAGATTCCCTGTTCCCTCCAGCCCCACTGGGACTCTACTTCTCCAGGGATGCTTACTGGGAGAAGCTATATGTGGACCAGCCGGCGGGCATGCCTCTGCTCTATGTCCACGCCCTGCGTGATGTCCCCGAGGAGGTGCCCAGCTTCCGCCTGGGCCAGTACCTCTACAGCGCCTACCGCACACGGCTGAATGAGAATGACTGGATCCGTATCCAGGAGGACACAGGCCTTCTGTACCTGAACTGGAGCCTGGACCACAGCTCCTGGGAGAAGCTCAGCGTCCGCAGTAAGGGAGCAGTCCTACCCCTACCCCCATTTTCTCCTCCCACAGCCCAGGGCACACCTATACCAGGACTCAGAGGGTGGCCATCCCTATGACTCCTGCTGTGTAAGAGTGGAAGGCACAAGGTGAGGCTGGCCTGCCTCTGTGTCCAGCTTGGCAAGAGAGCCAGGATAAATTTGGGGCCTGCTGACCCTGGGGCCTTCTGATGCTGCTGGGATCTTGGAGGACCCGTGTGAAGGATATGGGTGTTCTCTCCATGCTGGACTCAAGATGCCTTTACTAGTTAACAAGGATTTAGGGCTTTGAGAGAGGCTGAAAAAATCCCAGGTTTTTATCTAGCAAATGATCTGGAACTTGCTGGAGAAGCAGCAGTTTCCACAGAAAGCTTGTCTTATCATCAGCAACAAGCTGGCCCTGGAACCTGGTGGGGACTTGAATCTGATGCCACAGAGGAAAGTAGAGCAGAAGGGAGACTTGGACAGCTCCTCAGAGCAGGGGTCAGAGCCAAAGTGAAAGCTATGTGTGACCCTGGTATGGGGGGTGGGGGTGCATGGAGCAGAGTTTTGCCTCGTGGCATAAAATGGTGATTGCCCACCCAGTAGCTCCCCTCTGAGACATGGCCTCACTGGACCCTCACACCAGCCCTGAGCTCCTATATACGGGTAAGAGGCAAGCGGTTTGTCGGTGAATGCAGGGTGGGTGGCACTGCCCAGCAGGGGCAGAACAACCCAAGTAAAACCAGTTTCCCCAAGTAAAGAGGGCATCCCAGCTGGTTCCTAGAGGAGGTGGTATCTGAGCAGGATCTTGTTTCTGCACACACTTAGTTGTCACCATCTTCATCCCAAGCCACCTGTGGGAACTTGAAGAGCCAGGGTCGGTCCCTGGGGTGGAGACCAGAGTGGTATTTGCTAAGGGTACTATTTCATAGGAGGTCTGTTCTATTGGTGATTAGAAAGCAGCCTCCTGTACCTATTGGCTCCAGTTAGGAGAGAAATCGAACAGTAATTTGAACAGAGAAAATCTGTATAGGGAATCTAACTATATCAGGAAATTGGAGCAATGAAAAACAGGCCAGTAAGAGGCAAAGAGAACTAGTGACTATGGGGAGAGCAGATATGAGGAGCAGCCTAGGGAGAGTCCCCTACCCCTGAGGGAGAGTCCAGACCTCATTGGAAGGAGAATCACTGTGGTACTTTCATGATGGAATTTACTGGAAAACCCACCTCTAGGTGCTGGGGAAGTCTCTCCACAGGGTATGTCGCTGTGGAGATGCTCCATGATAAAACTGCCTGGGGGGAGGGTGTGGAGGCAAGGCCTACATGTGGTAGGAGTGGCCCTGGGGAAACTATCCACCTAGTGTCAGACCCAGGGCTCAGAGTACCCATCTGATGGGGGAGAGTGATGTGATAGAGGCTGGTTGGGGAGATAAGGGAGTGGCATTAGACGTGTCATTTAGGGCACCTCCCTGAAGAGGGATATTTGAGCTGAGACCTGAATGATGATAAAGTTAGACCTGTGAGGCACCTCAAGGCAGAGGAAACAGAACTACAGGACTCTGAGGCAGACAGACCCCAGGTCCAGGACAGTGGTGGAGAAACAGGAGGTAACAGACCTGGGCAAACAGCCCAGCCAAGCCCTTTGGACCACAATGAGGACTGAGCTTTACACCAACTCTGGAGCTCCTGCTCCCTCCCTATTCTGTTCCCCACGACCTGGCAGGTGTGGCTGACACTCCACTGGGCCTGACTTCTCTCTCTGCAGATGGCGGCTTCCCCCTGCTCACCGTCTATCTCCAGGTCTTTCTGTCGCCCACATACCTGCGTGAGGGCGAGTGCCAGTGGCCAGGCTGTGCCCGCGTATACTTCTCCTTCATCAATACCTCCTTCCCTGTGTGTGACTCCCTGAAACCCCGGGAGCTCTGCTTCCCTGAGACAGGCCTCTCCTTCCGCATTCGTGAAAACAGGCCAACTGGCACCTTCCACCAGTTCCGCTTGTTGCCTGTGCAGTTCCTTTGCCCCAACATCAGCGTGGCCTACAGACTACTGGGAGGTGAGTGACAGCCTCATGAGGCCATTCTTTGGTGCCTGCTGTGGGCCAGGTGCAGCACTGCAAGCCCATGACATGAGCTATGCAGTTTACTCTTCACCAAAACACCATCCATTCATTTAATATTCTAGAAGTATCGTTGTATGCCTGCCACAGGCCAGGCACTGTTCTAGGGACTAGGGATGTGATAGTGAATGAAACAAGCAGAAATCCTGCCTGCCTGGAGCTCCCATTCCCATAGGAGATGGAGAGCACCCATGTGCTAAGGAAATCGGGTGGCCTCTGGAAGGGGCTAGATGGAAAGTAAAGCCAAGAGAACATAGAATGGTGGAGACTGCTGTCTTAAATTGAGTGACCAGGGAAGGGGGCACTGGAGCAAAGGTAGGAGGACTCTAGGCAAGCAGGGCTAGCCCCTTCGAGAGTGCTGAGGTTCAACCCCCACATAGCTGGAGTGCTGTGAGTGACAGGAGGGTGGAATCTGTGAGGCAAACAAGTTCCTGGAGAGGGGGCATGGCTTCCCACTGAGGGACTGGGGAGTTAAGGAAGGCTTTTGAGGGGACATTGACAGGGCCTACTTTATTTTTAAAGGATCTGGCTGCTGTATTAGGAATGATTTGGGATGGGGTGGTTTAGGGTGAAAGCAGGAAGACAAGTAAGAGGCAACAGGAGAAATCTCTAAGTGAGAGGACGAGGACTGGGAGGAGGATAGAAGCCAAAGGGCAATGAGAAGCAGGCAGGTGCTGAGCATATTTTGAAGGGAGATCCAGCAGGATTTCTCGATGACTTGAATGTCACATATTGAAGGAAAGAGGAAACCAAACAAGGTTCCAGAATTCTGCCTGAGCAGCTGCAAGGACTGCTGACTTTCAAGATGACACTGCCTCAGGATGGTCCTTGGTGGTATTGGGGAGTGGAGGGAGTTGGATCCCAGTGGAGATGTAAGACGGGCAGCTGAGCAGTCTTGTGGGAAACCATTTAAAGTCAAGGAACTCTGGGACTCAACAGAGGCTGGACTGCAAGTATGTGGAACCTGGATTCATACCAAGTTTATCGACACACATGGTAATAATGTTAACATCTCAAAATAAAAAGTAGTTACCCATGCTTTCATTTGCCCCGTGGCAGGGATAGATGTCTTTGTGCAAGACTGTTGAAAAGCCTATGGTTTAGCATCCTGCCCTTTCTAGCTAAAAATTACATAATTAAATTTTATTGAGCATGTTTTTTTGTAATCATCAACAACAGAGGGAAACAGTATATAATAAGCATTTCCCACATGTGTAATCCACATGTAATATGTGGCTGTGATGTGAGAATGTGTAATTTCTCACCTAGTGGAGTTCATATAACCCTCCTGTGGTTGGCTCTGGGAGTGGTTAGTGTTGACCTTCAAGGCTTCAGCATTTCTCCTTTTCTGGTTTTTTTCTGGAGGATGAAATTCCAGGACAGGCTTGGAGTGAAGAGTGCTGTCATTATTGGTGCTCCCCTCACCAAGTTGTGGGAAGATACATGTGTCACTGAATGAACAGTGCCTGTTGAGTATACACGTTAGCCTTATCGTTCCATTTTCTGGTGAGAAAACTGAGGCACAGAGAAGACTATCCTGCAGTCTGCCGGCCCGCAGAAGCAATGGAAGGGCGGGCGGGTGATGTGTTGTCTTTGCCTCCTTCTCTGGGCACCCTAGGGGCAGGCTTGGTGAGTGGGCCAGCGGGAAGAGCACACCTGGCAAGGCCGCCTTTGGGTGACAGCAGGAAGCCTGGTTAGCAAAGAGAGCAGAGGTGCCCTGTGACTTTGCTTAGAACCTTTCTCACAACCATCTCCAGTCTAGTGCACAGGTTCTTGCCAGGAGGTGTAGAGCAGGGATGTGAACCAATCAAAAATATTTGTGTTAATATCAAGCCATGCACCAAATGTCCCTGTGTTTGCTGTCAAGTGGTAGGATTGTGGCTTTATTTCTCACATTCTCTAAAATCAGCACATAATGCTTACGTAATTTTTAAAAATTGCTAACATCTTTTCAAAAAGCAGCAAATGCTTGGCAGCTAGATCTCTGGGCCTGCAGCCTGGCTGAGCTGGTGCCACCCCTTCTCACAGCCCAGGCAAAGTGGGCTCTCCCTAGGTGATGAGGGTGAGGACCTGATGCAGGCTTCCTGGTCTCTGCAGTGTTGTGGGAAATCAGCACGAATCAGGAAAGCTCGCTGCACACTGTGCTCCCTGCGTAGCCTAGCAAGAGGAGCTCAGGGCCCTTGACCAGCGTGCACCCCGCAGAGCCCCCTCCCCTCATTCCTTCTGGGCTCCAGGAAGGCAGTTCAGCCTGTCCCCAGCCCGGAAACACGCCAGAGGGTTCCTGGTCTGCTTGGTGTGCAGGTGAGAGTCTACCCTTCCACTGTGCTGCGGACAGCCTGGAGGTGAGCACGCGTTGGGCCTTGGACCGCGAACACCGGGAGAAGTACGAACTGGTGGCAGCGTGCACCGTGCGCGTGGGCGCGCGCGAGGAGCAGGTGATGGTACCCTTCCCCGTGACCGTGTACGACGAGGACGACTCGGCTCCCACCTTCTTCGGTGGCGTCGACACCGCCAGCGCTGTGGTGGAATTCAAGAGGAAGGAGGTGCCTGTCCACCTGTGTGTTTGTCCGTTATCTGTCGTCTGTCTGTCTTTCCATCCGTCATTTATTCCTTGGTCTGTTCAGCCGTCTAGCTAGCCATCCAACCATGTGGCTGACCATCCATCTAGTTTTTCATTTGTCAGTCCGTCTGTCGGGGCTTACAGCCTGCCTTTGGGCAGCCGAGGAGAGGGGAGGCCCGGGCTGCTTCCCACTGGCCCCAGAGGAGGGAGGAGCCTGGGTGCCTGTATCCAAGCAAGCGGGCGAGGACGAGGGCGCGCGTCTTGGGGTGCATCTATTCCTCGAGGAGGGGAGAGAACAACGGCCGGGAGGGTACTCCCTTCCACCGACGCTCAGCCCTCACACCGGGTCCTTTGAGGCTCCTAGAGGGGTAGCGCAGGAATGGAGAAAAGCGGGGCTGGCTCCGCCCCTTTTGTCGCACGCGTGAAGCATGATTGCCACCTGCTGGGCCTCGGACTATCCTGCAGTCTGCCGGCCCGCGGAAGCAATGGAAGGGTGGGCGGGTGATGTGTTGTCTTTGCCTGCTTCTCTGGGAACCCTAGGAACAGGCTTGGTGAGTGGGCCAGCGGGAAGCAGGAAGCCTGGCAGCAGGAAGCCTGGTTAGCAAAGAGAGCAGAGGTGCCCTGTGACTTTGCTTAGAACCTTTCTCACAACCATCTCCAGTCTAGTGCACAGGTGCTTGGAGGAGAGCATTTTGGTGTACATTTAGGGATGGATCCCAGCTCTGCATGTATCGCTGTGTGACACTGAACTAACCCCTCCACCCTATGAGGCTCAGCTGCCTCAGGAGAGTGGAGTCACTGTGCTCTGCGGGGACCTGGGTGATACCTGTCAGCAGAGCACCAGGGCATCTGCTCTAGTCCAACCTTACAGAAGTCTTTAGATACCTATCACACCTGTTGAACAGCTGGGCCCAGTGGCCCAGGAAGGGTGACTGGGCCAGGCTGGCAAGTAGCCCTGTGGGGACTTGAACCCAGGTCAGTCCGATCCTAGAGCCAGCTCTGCCCATACCTGGTCTACCTGTGGGGCACCTGCCCTCCCTCAGTCTCAGGCTGCAGGAGATCTGATTGGCACCTCCAATTCTTTGCAGGGAACTGTGGTGGCCACACTACATGTCTTCGATGCAGATGTGGTGCCAGCATCCGGGGAGCTCCTGCGCCGGTACACAAGCACACTGCTCCCCAGGGATGCCTGGACCTTCCAGACCTTCCGTGTGGAGCACTCACCCAACGAAACCTTGGTCCAGGCCAACGGCAGCTTTGTGCGGGCAACCGTGCATGACTATAGTAAGAGGGGCTGGGCATGGCCTGGCTGGGCCCCCAGGGAGCCAGCAGCCATTCTTCCTGGACAGGGAAGCACCCTGCACACTTGAACACCTGGCCTGCCCCTCTGATCCCCAGGCATCTACCCTTTCCACCCCTCCATCCATCCCTTTTTTGTCTGTGCTGGGCTTGCCTCAACCTCCTAGGTGAGTTTTCACAAGCTGTCCTCTCCCCCTGAACTGACTCATGGTTGACCCTGACAGGAGCCCATTACACCTCTCATGCTGCCCACTAGAAACACATATGTCATCACCTGAGGCCTTCCTCTGACCTTGGCACCTACTTTGCTGCCCCCCAGGTATCGGAGTACCTGGAGATTACTGCCTGCCCCCCTCCCCAGCCAACAGGGGTGTATGTAAAGTAGCATCTCCATGCCCTTGAGCTGGAGGACCCTGAGACAGTTGTCCCATCTGGCTCCTGGAATGTACCTGCAGGGCTAAGTGCCAAATGCCCAAAGTGCTGACCTACAGAATGGGACATCCTCATCAGCTGCCTGGCCTCCCTGCCTCCTTCTCCAGCCTTCCTGCCTGTGTTTTCTGGGATCACCTTCCAAATGCCCCACTTGTACTTGGATCCTTGTTTTGAGATCCTGCTTCTGGGAGAACCCGGGATCACTGGTGCCTTTACCCCTTTCTGTCTGGCCTGATACTCTTTGTTTCATATCCTCCCCTCCCACAAAGCCTTTGAAAGCCTCCTGCCCTGTGCAAGGGAAACCTGTCACCCCTGCTCTGGCACACTCACTCTGTACTCCATGCTTAACAGAGCCCCTGTCTCCCATCCTTCTGTCTCCACTAATCTAAAACCACATGTTAGTACATGTTAGGTATACAGAGGTGTGTGAGCTCCCTGGCCCAGGGGACCTGTGGAGTCTAGGCTCCACTGATGGCTGCCGCTTTTGAGAGTTCTCTAGGGGAATTTGAGGGCCAGCACAGTTTTTTTCAGAGCATTGGCAGTGTTGGTTCTTTACTTCATATGTGCCCACATCTCACTCACAATCCTGACACTCATACACATACCTCATACACACCACATGCACATCCCCACACACACGTCCCACACATATGTACCCCATACACACACCCCACTTACATACCCCATACACATCACACGCATACCCCACAAATACATAACCCCACATACATATCCCACACGTACCATACACATTCCACACACACGCCCCACTCACATACTCCATACAAACGTATATACTTCACACATACGCTCCACACACACCACACACCCCACACATACATACCCCCCACACCACATACACTCTACATGAAACTCTCACACAATACTCCATACACAGACCACACACTTACATACCTTGCACAGACACCACAGACACTACACACACTCTTCACTCACATACTCCATACATACGTACTCCATGCATATATACCCCACACACATACACGCACACACACTCGTTACCTACCAGCTCATATAGGACCTCTGGGCTTCTAGCTCAGTACAACAGCTAACATTTAAACAGTGGTTCTAACTTACTGCCAGCTGCCAGATCTGTTATATGTGAACTGTGTGAAAAAGTATGTTTGCACTTTTATGCATGTGTGGGCAGGGTATGCATCTGGGAGGCAGTGTGCAGTGGAATGACGCAGTCATCACTGTGCCCCCACCTGCAGGGCTGGTTCTCAACCGCAGCCTCCCCATCTCAGAGAGCCGTGCCCTGCAGCTGGCTGTGCTGGTCAATGACTCGGACTTCCAGGGCCCAGGGGAGGGCATCCTCCTCCTCCACTTCAATGTGTCTGTGTTGCCCGTCAGCTTGCACTTGCCCAGCGCCTATTCCTTCACTGTGAGCAGGAGGGCCCACCGCTTTGCCCAGGTGAGCCGCGACCCACTGCCCGCCTGGAGAGGGGCATGGGGAGCTCTGTCTGGAAGATTGTAAGTAGGACAATGGGTAGGCAACACCCCTTCCCGAGGCTAACAAATACACAGAGTGGCCCAGAGGGAGCCACAGGCACAGGGCCAGGGAGGCTAGGGCCATGGGGGAGTGAGGAAGAAACGTGGACAGTGCTAGCAGGCTTTGTTGGCCTTTCTTTTTTGTCCTCTTCCTTCTTATTGTCTTTAAAACATTTTTTGTGCTAATGTGAGAACAATGCCAGGTTGCTTACTTGGAAAGATGTTCCTGGTGGATTGTTAAGTGAAAATGTGGCTCCATGTGTTCAAAAACAAACCTTTATCCATGGAAATTTGCAGGTGTGTAAATGCAAGCAGCAATTGACAGTGGCACCCTCTTCTGGGAAGGTTGGGGGGAGTGCTTCCACTTCTGCAGGTACATTTGCTAGAACTTATCTTGCATTTATCATTGGGAAATAATAATTAGAAGTGGAAAAATAGAGAGGAGTTAATTTCCTCTCCCCCTATCAACCAATGTTTAGCGTTTTGGTGCAGTTCTTTCTAGATGTTTTTCATAAGCACTTCTTAAAGTTTACTTGGAATTACAGCAGGCATAGGATTTAACGTACTGTTTCCTCCTAATGGAGCAGCTGTGGATACATCTTCTTTAGAATGTCATGTTTAGGGCCATCTCCTGTTACCGTCTTATTGGTTTTGTCTGTTTTTATGGTTGGTTCCCGTGATCCTGGCACCCCCCTGGGTCCAGCACAGGAAGGGGAGGTGTCTTCCTCCTCCCTTGGACACATCCAAGCTCCCTGACCTGCCACCACCCCAGGCCTTTCATGGAGAGGTGGGGTGATCAAAGATGGTGGAACATGACAAGGTAGAGGGACCTGAGGGGCCTCTGAGGTGGGCCGAGTGAGAGCAGCATTGCTGGAGATGGGTCACCTGTGCTCCAACAGACTCAGGAGGCCACAGGGAACTGGTCCCAGTTCAGCCTCAGACTCACCGTGGTCTTTCCTCTCTTCCCAATTTTTATGATTGTAAATTGATGGTGACTTTGGGGAACGCTGAGGATCACATGAGAGAGTGGAAGTGAGCACACTTTGTACAGACAAGTGCTAAAACCCAGGAGACTGTTTTGTTGTGGTGTCAGGCATGGGCTTAGCTCTTCCCTGGGCCTAAGCACAGACCTGCTGTGTGGTGCAGGCAGTGCCCCACCCTACCTGGTTTCACGCTGCTGCAATCCTAACTCTTTCTGGAGTGGTTGTGGGGTAAAAGGGAGAGTTCAGCTGCCTACCTTCAGGCCTCAGCAATGGTGCTACAAGCCTGGCAGCCCTTCTTTCCCAGGGGTTCCAGCCATAGTACCAGGAAGGCCACTAATCCCCTATGGACAGACAATCATTCTGTATGGTCATGTGGCCCGGTGCAGAGTTTTGACTGAGCAGGCTGGTAAACTGGCAGGGGTGGGCCGCCCTAGCCACATGCAGTTGAAGGTAGGAACTAGTGGTCCCCAGGACAAAACTGGCCTGTCTAGAAGCAGCGAAAGAAGAAGCCAATTGTCTTTTGTGCCTAAATGAATAAGCCAGTGAGGAATGAGTCAGCACATTAGCCCCTCCCTGGAGGGCCAGCCGCTAAACCAGACCTCAGTGCCCTGTTCTTTCACCCCAGCTCCCAGGAGCATAGGTGAACAGTGGTGTGACAGCGTGGGCAGGGCCAGGCAGGTGGGTGGGGCCATGGGAGATGGGGAGTTCATGGGGTGTTCATGGGGTGCTGCCATTCCTGGATGAGCAGGAGACTGTTCTAGGACTTAGCCTACCAGGGAGAGCCTCCAGCCACCATCAAAGGTCAGCCTTGCCACCAAGCTAAGGCATTCCCTGTTCCCCACACCTAGGTTGGGAAACTCTGTGTGGAAAACTGCCAGGAGTTCACCGGCATCCATGTGCAATACAAACTGCAGCTCTCCAGTACCAACTGTAGTGCCCTGGGAGTGGTTACCTCAGCCGAGGACAACATGGGGACCCTGTTCGTGAATGACACAGAGGCCCTGCAACGGCCTGAGTGTACCCAGCTCCAGTACACAGTGCTGGCCTCTGACCGGCCAACCCACAGGCAGGCCCAGGCTCCACTGCTCGTCACTATAGAGGGTACATGTGAGTGCTGGGGCCCTGTTGAGGGTCGGGATGGATGGGACATGATATTGCCATGGGCTTCCTTCCAACACAAGGGATCTGGTCCTGCTCCCTGTCACGGATTGGTGGCTTCCCTGAGCCTGAGTCTCTTTTCCTATAAAATGAGAATTACATACAATGCACAGCTTGAGCTGGAAGAATGACAGAGTATGAAACAGCTCAGCCAAGAGAGACTACGTGGTAAATGGGGGCTGCTCCCCACCACCACCGTCCTCACATCCAGCATGTATCCTTGCTTTGAGGCTGCCAGATAAAACACAGCGCCCTGATTAAACTTAAATTTTAAGTAAAAAAACAAGCAATTTTTTTGGTGTATGTCCCATGCAACCTCTGCACAGTCTCTTGGAAGAAGACAAATTTCTAGGTATGTCAGCGAAATATTAGGAACATACTTACACAAAGCAGGTATTCGCTGTTTTTCTGAAATTCAGGTTTAACTAAGCATCCTATCTTGTGTGTCATTGGCCAAGTTTGGCTGCCTCACATCCTCCCTCCATACTACCCCAGCCCAGTAGCTGTCCCTCCTTTGTGACTGTGGTGCTACTCCACTTCCCCAGCAACCCTACCACTTCCCTGCAGCTGGTGCTGAGTTACTCCCTGTCTTCTGGGCTCAACTCATGGGGGCAAGTTGGCCAGTGCTGCCCCCTGTCCATGGGCAGTGGCAGAACACTGGGCCCATGCTGGTCCCCTGTGACCTGCTTTCCTTCACCCTCAGACATGGCTGAGGAGCCGGGCTGCCCCCTGTCCTGTGCAGTCAGCAAGAGGCGGCCTGAGTGTGAGGAGTGCGGCGGCCTGGGCTCTCTGACAGGCAGGTGCGAGTGGAGACAGGGAGACGGCAAAGGTATGCCCCACACAGAGCCAGAGGCCCTGCAGCCAGGCAGTTAAGAGGGGTGATGATGGCTGAGTGGAAATGGGATCTGTGCGGGCCCTCTTTACGCCACATCTGTTACCCAGAGCTGTGTCCCCATCAAGGCTCCTGATGCCAGGAGAGGGTGGTCATAAGTGTAGGGTGTGGGTGGCATGAGGACATTCAGGCTGTTCATTGCCAGGAGACCACAGGTGCCCGGGACTACACTCCCTTTGAACTTAGAAAGGTGTGGGCTCAAGCTGGGATGTGCAGAGTACAGAGAGGCTCTACTTGCGAGGTCCCAGGCTAGAGATTGTGGCCCTGAGCAGGAGGGTCCTAAGCTGGCTTGAGTATGGATGCAGCCAACTCCAAGACACACCCACTACTATGAGGATCCCTGAGCTGCCCTGTGTACTCAGGACCCCCACCCTGAGCACTTCATAGGGATGCCCCTACTGGTGGGGCTCCATGTGTGGTTTTTCTCTGCTCAGGTCTTTTGGGGAGCAGAGTTGGCCCGGAAGGCCCTGGCGTGCTGCCCTCCTGGCTCTGGCAGTCTGACTAGGGCAAGTGCTCCCATGTGGCAGTGACCGGCCCACTTTGTGTTACAGGGATCTCCAGGAACTTCTCCACCTGCTCCCCCAGCATCAAGACCTGCCCTGATGGCCACTGTGACTCTGTGGAGAGCAGAAATTCCAACATCTGCCCCCAGGACTGCCTCCGTAAGCAGCCCACCAGGCCTACCCAGTCAACCTGAGCCTGGTCAAGGCCCGGGTGGGTGAGGTAGTAAGCAGGAAAGGCTTGGACTCCCACCTGAACATCAGCCACACCAGTCATGTTCCTGGGTTTTTATATATTCAGCCTTTTTCTGACATTTCATTTGAGTAAAGCACTATTCCCCCCCTACCCCCCCACCCCCCAAAAAAAGAAATTGGAGCCTGATTCCTGACCTACACTCTAGTGTCACTCTGGCCAACTCACAGAGGTGTAGCTCCCTAGCCCCCATTCTGCTGGATACCCCTGCTGCCCCTTCTCTGTATCTGAAAAGTATCCATGTGTGGACCTTGGCAAGGGCCCTGGGCAGCCCGTGGGCTCCTCCTGCCCACTGTGGCTAGGGAACTGGCTTGGGGACAGATAATGCTGAGAGTCCTGCCCAGATGACCCAGACCTCTGAGCTCACTGCTCCACCCTACCCACCCCCACCCCGGCCCTTAGGCCTGAGCAGCTGACATCAGGTGGAGAGAGGCCTGTCACACTCCTGTCTGGGTGGTCCTGGCTTGTTAGGTAGGTCACCCACAAGGCTGAGTGGGCTTTTTCTGTCACCAGGGGGCGGCAGCATCATTGGTGGGCATGAGCCAGGGGAGCGTTGGGGAATTAGAGCCGGCTTTGGTACCTGCAACTGCTTCCCTGAGGAGAAGAAGTGCTTCTGTGAGCCAGAAGACAGCCAGGGTGAGCCATTTGGGGCCACATGCTGGGCTGGGCTCCTGACAGAGCCATGCAAGCCAGGGAGGAAATTGCAAGAAGGCAGTTGAAATATGGGAGACCCTTCTTCCCTCTAGGCCTCAGTTCTCCCATCTGTGCAGACAGGGAGCCAGATCAAAGCCCCTATAGAATGCCTTCTGGCCCAAAGTTCTACAACAAAGATTGGGCTCGAAAATTAGTTCTTCCACCACATAACTCAGTGTCTGCTTGGATTTTCCCTGTGCCGGCCCTTGGCTGGGCCCCCGACACTATCTGACTAGGACCCCGCCTCCCAACCAGAGCCTGCAGGTGCTCCTTCTGGAACAGTGAGTGTGGTGGGTGGCTTGAGATCCCCTGAGCACACAGAGAGCTTTCCAGCCTGCGCCCAGGGACTCTTTTTTGGTATTTGAGTTGTTACTGTATGGTCCTAGGTCCTGAGCTATTTTCCTTCCCTCTCTCCTTTTTTTAAAGAATACACAAAAGACATTGGGAACACAGAGGAAGAACTTTACCTCCCTGCAGGGCCAGGTCCAGCTGGCTTCAGCACAATGTTCCACAACTGCTACGTGGCCTTGGGCAGGCTGCTTACACTCTCTGTGCCTCTCATTCCTTCTGTAAGAGGGTCATAACAGTCTCCATGTAGAGGAGACATCCCTATAAGTACTTGCCATGTGGTCAGTGCTGTTGGAATGTTTGCAGTTATTCTCATACTTTCACACCAGCAGCATTTGCCAGGCTGCTCAGTTTGTCAGAGCAGCCACTTTCTAGCAGCTGTGGTTGTGGCAGGCTGGAGAAATGTGCCATGTTGGCTTCTATTGGCATTGGGGGCACCCTCCTGGAGCATTGTCCCTCACAGCCACCTCTGCCCACAGACCCACTATGTGATGAGCTCTGCCGCACTGTGATCGCAGCAGCTGTTCTCTTCTCCTTCATCATCTCTGTGCTGTTGTCCACCTTCTGCATCCACCGCTACCATAAGAACGCCCACAAGCCGCCCATCGCCTCAGCCGAGATGACCTTCCGCCGGCCAGCCCAGGCCTTCCCAGTGAGCTACTCCTCGTCTAGTGCCCGCCGGCCCTCACTAGATTCCATGGAGAACCAGGTCTCTGTGGATGCCTTCAAGATCCCGGTGAGGTTCCTTGTGGAGCCTCAGGGCTGGGGAGGCAGGAGACCTTGTAGGCGGCACTGGTCTCTAGCAATTAGAAGCTGCAGAGGGGAGGGGGACATGCAGGGCTGTGCTAATGTACCCCAAGCTAATGTATGAGCGTTTCAGCAACACCCCCTGCCTTCACTGAGCTGCCTGCCAGGGAAGGCAGAAGACCCGTAGGGTGGAGAGCATTGAGGCAGTTTAGCGAGTGGAGACTGATGGGTACTGATTTAGGTGGACTAGTATTTGGGCCCTGAGGATACAGGGAAGGCAGGCCATGCTATGGCATATCTGACAGGGAACTCCTGCAGATGCCTCCAAGACTGGGGGGCCCTGAGGAGGAGTGTGGATTTTCTCAATAGGTGGGATACCTGGGAGTTGGGGGTTGAGCAAAGGGGCCCATGTTCTGCCTTCATTTCTGCAGGACTTTATTGGAAAGTCTATAGGGTGAGTGCAGAAGTGGGAGCCTGTGATGAGGCACTGTCCCCATCCAGGTGAGAGATGGCAACAGGGAGGGGAATCCATCAGCAGTATGGAGAGAGGGGGCACCAGGGGCCTCTGGGTCACCTGTGATGGAGCCTGGGCCCGTGGATCTGTAACCTACCAGCTGACAGAGAATGTCAGCCAGAGCCAGCAGGCTTCCAGGCCCCCTTATTAGAGGGAAGACCTGCGTCTGTGGTCAGTATGTGCTCCTCAGAGCTCTCGTTTTGGCCAGGCCTCCCCTTGGCCTGGCATGCCCCTTCACAATTCTCTCTGAGAACTATCTGAGGAGCTGGAAGCCAGATTCTGGGAGGAACTGAGGAAAGTACTCAGAGTGGAGGGGGCTTGGGAACTTAAGTCTCACCACAAGGCTGGGAAAGGAGAGTGTAGCGTGTGTACCTCCAGGGGCCTCTAGGCAAGTAGCTCAGCAGCAGGATGCCATAGGCCCCTGGCAGTCCACAACTCACGCTTAGAGGTAGCCAGAGTTTGTAAGTGGTGCCACCCAAGGGTCGTTGCCCCTTGGTAAGGGTCTGGGCCAAGGAGGCTTTCCCCAGCTGCAGCAGCCACTGCAACCTCCCTCTTAGCTTTCCTACTTCCAATCACTCAGCAGGTGGGGAGTCTGCAACCCTGGCCCAGCAGCATCTAAGCTTCCACAGGACACCTCAGGGATGAGTCATATAAATCCTTTATATACCCTGGTAGTTTGCAGTGGAAGAGCAAGCTGGTGGGAGTTCTTGTGTGTGGACACACACCACCTTGGCCCACATCACCTCCAGCCCAGAGTACAGAGCAGCCAGAGGCCAGCATGAGGCTCAAGGGCCACATTGACAAGCTCTGAGGTCTCAGGCATGTTATTCAACAGTTCAGCCTCAGTTTGCTCTTAAATAAAATAGGGAAGATATTTAACATTTTTAAAAGGATCAAATTGTTGATAGCCACACATGCTCAGTGTGACATCTGTGTGCAGTAAATGGTTATCCAGGGCAATTTGGAGATGAAGACACCAGGGCTGTGATAATGTTGTCAACTCTGACTCCGACTGTGGGTTCCTGGGGAACTTGAGACACCAGGATGCCCAGGAGCTGGCTAGAAGGTGCCTCTGACCAGAGTGCTGAGAGGAGGCTACTTCTGTACCCAGACATCAGAACGTGTGGCTCTGGTTGTCCAGGGGCAATGAGCCCCTAGTGGTGTCATCTCTGTTGGTTAGGCAAGCCTTAGATAGGACACATCACGAGCAGCATCTAGAAGCCACACCAATGCCCAACTGCAGGGAGATGTGGGGAGATAGATGCCCAGTGCTGGCACTGGATGGGAATTTCCAGATAGGTTTTGGCATCCCCAGTCAGAGTTCAAATACCTAGGCCAGGCTAGGTATCTGGGAAGGCAGCCCAGAATAGCCTAGTGTGTGAACTAGACTTCAGTAGGAAGGCAGGGTGTGTGGAGGGGAGCCTGGTGAGCAGGTGTGTTCAGGTTCAGGATGACAGCCAGCCCCATGGGAGGAGTAGTCTCTAACACATGGTAGGATGGAAGTTCCCTAGGTGCACAATGGTGCTTGTCCAAGAACTGCCACACAGGGAAGTTACCCTGGACACTTCCACCTGTAGCTGGGATTGTAGGCTAGGAGGTGACTTGGTCCACTGCTGCTAATTTGGTCCTCTGTGGGGTCCTGGACATCTCTGGAAAGGGTACACCAGGGCCTGGGCTGCAGCCCAGTCAGTGCCTTGGTGTCCAAAGCAGAGGCAGTGCTGAAAGGATTGGGCCTGACTCTCAGAGAAGAGGCTGTGATCCCATACAGTGCTGAGGAAGCCCTGGCCCCCTCGTTTGAGAGTCGAGGACATGGGCCAGGGGGTGCCCTAGGGCATGTTGAGTAAACTGGAGACCAGCAAGGGTATAGGCATCCAGACTTCAGTCCAGTCTGTGGCAACACCTGCCTTCCCATGAGGGAGATGCATTGTGGAACAGCGCATCAGGACCCAACTGTGGGGTCCTGCCCTTGTGGAAATGGGTGACCATCACCTACTAGTTCAGATGATGGTCACGTCTCTGCACACTGGAGCTTGTCCACCAGGAGCTCCTTCATGGGTCTTGCCTTACTCCTTTTCTCTTACCTTCACCATCTTTATCCCCTCTCCTCTTCTCTCCCTTCGTTCAACCTCAATGTAGGAGGATCCAAAGTGGGAATTCCCTCGAAAGAACTTGGTTCTTGGAAAAACTCTGGGAGAAGGTGAATTTGGAAAAGTCGTCGAAGCAACAGCCTTCAGGCTAAAAGGCAAAACAGGGTACACGACCGTGGCCGTGAAGATGCTGAAAGGTACCTGTCCAGGCAGCACACACATGTGGCTTTGCCATGCACATCTGCGGGAGCCCCAGGGGATAGATGGAAGCCACCCGACAGGGCGCTGGTGGCTGTCCTTGCACCTCCTCAAGAGTTTTCCATGGCTGTTCTTGAGTGTCTGCAATCTGGGGACCCCAATCATGGATAACCTGGGCCAGGGTGGTCCCTGAAGAAGCAGGGCAAGGACTTTCCTTCTTTGGAAGGTTCTAGAGTGGTATTATTGGGGATGTGCCAACATACCAATGTTGGGTAAAGATCTGAGTTTTAAAAAAATTTTTAAAGCACTTTTGGTTTCGAACTGATAGCTCTTCCCACCCCAGTTTTCCTCATTCATTCCTCTCAGACAACTGTCCATTGGGGACCTGGTGAAGAAACCACTTAAGAGGACTGGCCCCGTCCCCAGACCCCCCAAGGGACTGCCCCATCCCAGTCTTGCCACAAGGGATGAGTCTTGCCGCAAGCTTGGCTCTGAGTGGGCACACACACACACATACTCATATTTCTCAGCAGAGGGCATATGGCCAAGTTCTGGCCCAAGTGGGCTGACTGAGGTCCCATCGGTAGTGCAGTGGGCACAAGCTGGCAAGTGCACGCACAAGTTCTAATGTAGCAGTTGGGAGACCACACAGCGCAGTGCTTCTGGATGCTTCCCCAGGCCCTCAAACTGGGATTGCCCCTTGCCCAAGAGACCCCATGTCCTAAGGGGGTACAGTAAGGCTGTCCTGGGCTCCCCACCCATGGTACAGGAGGTTCCCATGCCCCATCTCTTGTGGAAGCTGTCTTCTCGCTTCCAGACAAGTCTGCAGCTAGAGGCAGTGAGCCATGGGGCACTGGCCCTGGAGGACTGTTTAACCACAGCTTCTGACTCACAATGATGCTAGAGAACTCAATGGGGCAGGAGTGAATAGGGGGACCCTGATCCTGAGCTCTGGTGACCAGGTTCTTGTCCTATGTCATGAAAAAGAATTCAAGGACATGACAAAGAGTAAACAGAAAAGCACAAAATTATTAAAGCAAAAGTACACACTTAAAAGTGCTGGCAAACTCTAAGAGAGAGAGTCGTCCTGAGCTGTCTGGATTATGGGTTTTTGTTTTCTTGGTGTTGGGAGTGGTGCCTGGAGACATGGTACTTGCAATACAGGTGATATAATAATACTACAATTAGCTAAAGCTGAACAAAGGACAAGGGAAAGGCTATGGAACCTTGTCCTGAAGGGGAGAGGATATCCCAAGGCTATCCATCCTGTCTCCCCATCTTAGCCTGTTCCTCATAAAGTCTAAACAGAAAGAGGCCTGAGTGAGGGACTAAGGAAAAATTCCAGAGCCACATCCTGGAAGGGAGGAGGAATATTCCTAGGCTAACTATCCTTCCTCAAAAATACCTCCACACCAGGCTCCTGTTGGGAGCCCGAACTCAGCTCCACCCACTCTTGGGATGCACATCCTCCATGTGGCATAAAATCTTGTGGTCTACCTCCCTCCAGGGCCTGGCTCGTTGAGTGCTTTGTCATAGAGTATTTGGGGATGCCAAGGAATCCCTTTATGTTTCCAAAAGAATTAATGAGGGATGGTCATTGTTCACTGCTATCTTTGAAAGATGGCTTGCAGGGAAATATTGCCACTTACGCACAGTACAGCCCTGGGAGGGGCTGTCCATGGAGAGATCCTGCTTATGTAGATGTTGGCTCCTGGGGATTCTTATTCCCCAGAGGCAGAGGAGGCTGCTGTTGACCATCCCACAGGCTGAGAGTAATCATGAGCTCTGGATCTTTGGGTAGAGTGTCTGAGAAAGAGATAATTGGATCTGTGCAGACCCCTAGTGTAGGTCATGTGACCTGCATTCACAGAAGAGGCTTCCAGAAGGGATGGATTTGCAACCTGTTCTGTTTATGTGCATTTCAGAGAACGCCTCCCCAAACGAGCTGCGGGACCTACTGTCAGAATTCAACCTCCTGAAGCAGGTCAACCACCCCAATGTCATCAAGCTGTATGGGGCCTGCAGCCAGGATGGTGAGGCCAGCCACAGAATGGCAGCTGCTGGGCATAGACCAGGGGGTCTGGCCTGCTCCATTCTTCCTCCTCCCTCTTCCCTGTCCTCTCCTTCTCTGGTCCCTATTCTCTGTCCGTACATGGTCTCTGTCTCCGGCCACTGCCTGGAGCCTCCTGTGTCAGTGAGAGGGCTGGGAGAAGCTGCTGCAGGATGCTTGCATGAGGCTGTTCCTCAAGGAGCCCTAGGCCTACCAGGGTTGCCCAGAGGTCTCTGGTGATATTTCACTTGTCAGCACCTTGCTCCAGGGCAGGGAACTCCAGAAATAAATGATGCCTCCTAGCACCTACTGGAGAGTAGGCATGCTGTGATCTCCAGGTAACCCCAACCCCAGCCCTGCATGACAAAGGCATTGCCACTGTTTCTCACGTAAGGACACAGGAGACCAGTCTGATCTGTTGGTTTTCCAAACCCACTGTGCTACCAGGGGCCTCTGCGTGCATGTGCATGTATACGTGTTTGCATGTGTATAATGGGAGTATGAGAAGACAGGGAGCCAACATGAAGAGGGCAGTAGGCATGCCAGTCAGCACCAGTAGGACTCAGGGCTGGGCCTAGAGCAAGACTGCAGCCCAAGAGCTGCTGAGAGAAGCCAGGAGCAGAGAGCAGGTGGCTATGTGCAATCCAGGTCCTCTGCGTCCATCAGCCATCCCCAGGCCATGCTGCAGCAGGATTGGGCTGCAGACAGGCTTGTCATTCTAGCAACGGGTATGCATCCCCAGGCAGCACTGAGCATAGTGGTCATCTGCCTCAGGCACCCTGGGAGGAAGTCATGCTCAACCTCCCAGGCAGCAGCTTTAGCACAGGCCTCGAGAGGTGGAGAGCAAATGATAATAATGACCTGGGACATAAACAAGTCCTGGAGCTGCCTGGAACTCAAGCACTTGACATCTTAAGTGTGGTTGTGTCCATCTGCCTACTTACTGGTAGTGTACAGAGCTGCGCAGAGGTGCGTACCTCTCCCACTTTCTGTGCTCTGTGAGATGCCTTGACTTCTGCCTGCTGAGCAGCCAACCCACAGCCTCCATTTGTCCCCAGGGCCACTCCTCCTCATTGTGGAGTATGCTAAGTACGGCTCCTTGCGCGGCTTCTTGCGAGAAAGTCGCAAGGCAGGACCCGGCTATGTGGGCAGCAGAGGCAGCCGCAACTCCAGCTACCTTGACAACCCGGATGAGCGGGCCCTGACCATGGGCGACCTCATCTCCTTTGCCTGGCAGATTTCACGTGGGATGCGGTACCTGGCCGAGATGAAGGTATGTGCTGCCCCAGCCCGGTGCCCCTGCTCTCTGCGATGGGCCTGGATTTTAGGTGTCCCTGCTATTGTCTTTCTTGCAGCTTGTCCATCGGGACTTAGCAGCCAGAAATGTCCTGGTAGCTGAGGGGCGGAAGATGAAGATTTCAGACTTTGGCCTGTCCCGAGATGTGTATGAAGAGGATTCCTACGTGAAAAGGAGCAAGGTACCAGGTCCTGGGGGTGTGCTGGCCTGATGTCCTAGGCTGGGTGGAAGCAACAGTCAGGGTGCACACAGTGGGAGGGGGTGGGGGGCAAGATCCTTTAGCGCACCTGGAGAGGATAAAGTAGATTTTTAGAGTATAAACTTCTAGACCTCATCCCCAAATCCTTCCCTAATTCTGGGTCTCCAGAGACTGTTCAGGACTCATCCTTGAGTCTGTTCTTTCTCTTCCTGAGGACCACACTCGCCCTTTCAGATCTGGCAGCTTCTCTTGCTTTTAATCACTATCACTTTTGAAAGTCACTTAATGCTGAGGAAGTAACCATCCTCTTCTCCACAGTGTTCTTCTTTCTTCTACAGAATAAAGGTCACTGTTTCTGTGTTATTTAGCTCTTTGCCCAGAGGAGAGTTAAGTGAAATAAACCCAAGCATAGTAGTCATTCTTTGCAGGAAGGAATGAACTACTTTACAGGGTGGAAGTTCTCTTGGGACAAGGGCCTGGGAACCCCTGGCTGGGTGAGTTTGGAAGGCACAAGGAGCGGGGCCCTAGAGACTGGGTCCAGAGACTCAGCATAAGGTTCTCAGAAGCTTTCTCTGGATCTCTGAAGTAGGTGTGTGGGGGCCCCTCTGGGGAAATCTGATTCCCTGGCATTGTCCAGTTTCCTGTGGCATTTGTCTTGACCCTGGTCTGTTGCCCTCTCAGCCCCTCTCCTGCAGCCTCCCCCTGAAATAGCAGACTGGGTCAGCTCACAGGCCATTCAAGAGTCAGTATTCAGAACAGACAAAAAAAGAAGCACAAAATAACACAAAAAGCAACTGCATACACTTCAGCTTTGCTCAAAGGGTGGGGAGAAGCCCTAAAAGTGCCACAGGCTGTGAGGACAGCATTTCATTTCTTCTGAGGTTTCTGTTGTGACAGCCTATCTCATACTGCCAAAGAGGAAGTAGAGAGGAGCTGCCCTCCACCTCATGAAGGGGTGTGGACAAAGACTTCCTGTTGCTGCACCAGTCGTCCAAAAGGACGCTGTGTCATAGAGTGGAGAAGCACAAGGTGTCCAAACACAGGGCCCCAGAAAACACAAGCTGCAGGCAGTGTTGTTACAAACACTTGCCCCAGAAACAATTACACTTCATTAAGGACGTGAACCATAAAGAACGCTTTTTAAAAAAAGGAATTATTGTAAATGCTGCATTAAAATATAGTGCATGCATTTTTTAATTGATTTATGCCTTAGGACTTATCTACTGAAAAGCTATTTGTCAACTTGCATTGGGAACACTTGCGGTCAAAATGGCTGCTTGCCTCCTCCCATGACCGCATCAAAATTACATCTAAATTACAGAACGACCATCCTTGAGAACCACCTGAAGACTAGTTGAACAGAATTCCTATAACTAAAGATATAAAGAAGCTACAGTCGAGACTGGCAGGAGCGGGTGAAGACTCAAAAGATGCTGGTCACACACCTGCATTTGGCAGTTAAATACCAGAGGGATATCTCGGATGCAGAGGTTTCCCCTGAGGAGCGAGGGGGAAGCCCCACACCAGACTCCCCAGCTTGGAGCACCAGTGCTGGAAAGAGGAGTCCCCACAATACCTGGCTATGAAAATCATTAGGGATTCCATCCAGGTGAGACAAGAGGGCTGCTGGAGTTTCAGGCATTCTCTTAAAGGGCCTAAATACAGACTCACTTGTTCACAAACACTCACCCTAAGCTCCAGTGGAGGAACAGCATCTTGAAAAGCACCAGGGGCATGTAGGGACAAACTGAATTCTGAATGGCTTCAGACCACAACAGAGCAGTACCCAATTAGCACCACAGACGACAAACCCAAATGTCCCACTGGTGCGAATTCCACTCTGTGGGGTCAGCCCCCACACAACAGCTTGTCCACTGTAGTCACAGCCAGTCCTCACAGCCAGTCAGCCTGAGGATCAGCCCCACCCACTGACAAGCCAACAGCAATCAAGACTTAACTACAACAGGAGGGCACACAGTCCACACAAAGGACATACCTGGAGCATCTGGCTCAGGTGACCAGGCAGACTGGGCCCTGGGCCCCACAGGTTACCTACTACATAAAGCTGCCCCGCCAAGACTGGGAAACATAGTAACTCTACCTAATACATAGAAACAAATACAGTGTGGCAGCCAAAATGAGGAGACAAACATGTTTTAAATGAAAGAACAGGACTAAACCTCAGAAAAAAGAACTAAATGGAAGCAGGCAAGCTACCAGATGCAGCTCAGTGAATGAAGGGGAAGAATAGATGATCTCAGTCAGAACTTCAACAAAGAGGTAGAAAACAAAGTATAGAAACCATAAAAAACCAGTTATAAATGAAGAATATAATAACTGAAATGAAAAATACATTAGATGGAATCAACAGCAGATTAAATGAAGCAGAGGATCAAATCAGCAATTTGGAGGACAAAGTCGTGTAAAACACCCAGTTGGAACACCAAAAGAAATAATAAATGAAAATAGTTTAAGGGACCTCCGAGACAACATCAAGTATAACAACATTCACATCATAGGGGTACCAGAAGGAGAAGAGAGAGAACAATAAATTGAGAACGTATTTAAAGAAATAATGACTGGAAACTTTCCTAACCTGGCAAAGGAAGTAGACACACAAGTCTAAGAAGTGCAGAGTCCCAAACAACATGAATCCAAAGAGGCCCACACCAAGACACGTCATAATTAAAATGCCAATGGTTAAAAACAAAGAATCTTCAAAGCAGCAAGAGAAAAGCAGTTAGCTATTTACAAGGGAGCTTCCATAAGACTGTCAGCTGATTTATCAACAGAAATTGTGCAGGCCAGAAGGGGTTGGCATCAAAAAGTCAAAGTGATGAAAAGCAAGGACCTACAACTAAGATTACCCAGGAAGGCTATCATTTAGAATCGAAGGAGATATAAAGAGCTTCCCAGACAAGAAAAACTGAAGGAGTTTATCACCTTCAAATCAGTATTATAAGGAATGTTAAAGGGACTTCTTTAAGAGGAAAAAAAAAATATCAACAGTATGAATAAGATAATATTGCAAAGAAAAAAATTCTCACTGACAAAGGTAAACCCAAATAAAAGCAGTGAATCAACACTAAAGCAAGTACAAAGGTTAAAAGGCAAAAGTAGGAATATCATGTGTAATTATGAAAATAAAGGGATACACATACAAAAGAATGTGTAATAACGAATACAAAATGTGGAGGAGATGAGTAAAAATGGTAGTAATTATAGAATGTGTTTGAACTTAAGCGACCATCAACTTACAATAGATGGCTATCAACATAGTTTTGAATATATGAAGGACATAGTAACTACAAACCAAAATCTAGAAATAATACACAAAAAGTAAAGAGAAAGGACTCCAAATACAACACTATAGAAAGTCATCATACAAGAGAAGAGAGCAAGAGAATAAGAAAGGGGCAGAGAACTACAAAAACAATCGTAAAACAATAAAATGGCAATAACTACATACCTGTCAATAATTAAATGTAAATGGGTTAAACCTCTAATCAAAAGATGAATGGTTAAAGAAGATGTGGTACATATATACAATGGAATATTACTCAGCCATAAAAAGAATGAAGTCTTACCACTTACATAACATGTTTAGACCTGGAGAGTATTGAGGTTAGTGAAATAGGTTGGACAGAGCAAGACAAATACAATTTCATTTATACGTGGAATCTACAAAGCAAAATAACAGAAACAAACTCACAGATAAGGAACAAACTTATAGTTGCCAATTTGTGAGAGAAGGGGGCCTGGGAGTAGAGTGAAAAAGAGGAAGGGATTAGGAAGTACAAACCGGCAGTTACAAAATAGTTTGGGGGATGTAAAAGTACAGCTTAGTGAATGCAGTCAGTAATATTGGAATAACTATACATGGTGTCACATGGGTGCAAGGCTTATTGGGGGAGAGCACTTCATAAGTTATGTAAATATCTAACCACTGTTACACCTGTAACTAATATAATATTGAATGTCAACTGTAATTGAAAAATAACAGTAAAAAAAAAAAAAAGTCGCTTTGGAAAGGATTTGTTAGGTCTTACCCCAGCGCCTCTGTGGTGGGGGACAC